AAACAAACAAACAAACAAAACCACCAACAAACAAACAAACAAACAAAACCACCAACAAACAAACAAACAAACAAACAGAGCCACCAACAAACAAACAAACAAACAAAACCACCAACAAACAAACAAACAAACAAACACAGCCACCAACAAACAAACAAACAAACAAACAAACAAATTGGCACAAACTAACTAACTTTCGACATCGAGGATACAAATAGACAACACCACGAATGTACCCACAAACGAACAGTTCGCAAACAGACAAGAATGACAAAATTGAACCTCCCAACAAATAACGGAAGAACAACACAACAAAAAAACAACAAAACAAAACGGAGACAGGAAAACATTACGTGAGTGAAACAACTTGAGAATATCGCTCAAAACAAAATACCCCCCCACAAACATACACATACCCTGCTACTTTTCCTTTTGACATTGTAATTCATCAAAGCAGAGACCGGGAAAGATGAAGGCCTCTTGTTTTAGGTTTTAGTAAACAACAATTAGGTCGTATTACACGTGCCGAAGATTAGAGGTGTCACAAAGGAGTAACAAACACAAAAAGAAGGAGGAGAGATAAGGACAATGCATGTTTGATAGGAAAGAAGGAACAAAAAACACAAGTGCACCCATCAACCACCTGCAGGTATGTTGAGGCAAGGAATGATGAGCACCAATGAACGAACACGGCCATCATTATGGTGACAGACCGCTACCTTAGAATCACAAAATGATATCTGACGTTTTTGGCTGTTTTCAGTTACTAATACAATGAGGTCAGAAAACAAATGTTCTACCTGCTCTATTAAGATTGTAGAATTATTCGGGGTCATTATCAAGATATTCAAAGAAATTATACATTCGAAAAAGCTTGACAAGTGAAATTCAACATTTTTTACGCCAAATTTCTTAAAACTAGATGCTGAGCAGATAGAGCTTAGTAATTACTAGGAGAGCGATATATACATGGTTGTGACTCACTCACTTAAATGGGTAGATGTAGATCCTGCAGATGTCGTACACAATGATGGAGGAGACGCCCATGACCTCTCCTGACCCCGTGGCCATCATGAGCATGGTGAACATAATGAGTATCATGATGCCCCCACCTCGACCCAGCGCCGCTTGAGCGATGTAGGGAGTCACAAGACCTGATGTGGTGGGGGTGTGGGGGGGATGACATATTGATGTTTATTTATTTTATATGTTTATGCGTATCTTTGTG